TTGTCATTTCACATATTTACTAGTACAGTACTTAATGTGAAAGAAATAGAATCGATCATTGCAATATGAGAAAGATCTGTTTAGTTCTTCTTTTAATCCATTTTGTTTTTATGATCAGTCTCAAAATATAACATGCACAACGAGGGATCAAGGGGAACCTACATTTAAATTTTGAGAAAGATCCCTCCCGTACTTCCCGAGAAATAGCGATAACAAACTTTCACTATCAAAATCCAAGATGGCTGCCTGTCGGCCATGTTGTTTATCCAATTAGTCTCAAAAATTGCCCTGCACAGCTAATGACAAAGGGGAACCTACATATAAAATTTGAGATAGACTCCTATAGTACTTTTTGAGAAATAGTGATAAAAAACTTTCACTATCAAAATCCAAGATGGCTGCCTGTCGGCCATGTTGTTTATACAGTCAGTCTCAAAAGTTGCCCTGCACAGCTAATGACAAAGGGGAACTACATATAAAATTTGAGATAGACCCCTATAGTACTTTTTGAGAAATAGCGATAACAAACTTTCACTATCAAAATCCAAGATGGCTGCCTGTCGGCCATGTTGTTTATCCGATCAGTCTCAAAAATTGAAATTGAAATAGAAATACCGATAACAAGAATTGTTTAAGGATGGACGACAGACGGCGGACCACGGACGATGGACAGACCACAGACCACGGACCACGGACGCAGGGTGATTTGAATAGCCCACCATCAGATGATGGTGGGCTAAAAAAATAAAGTGTTTTAAAAAATTGATACCACAAAATGTATATAATCCCAACGAATTTGTCCCAAAACAAAAACAACGAAATTTAATCCAACGGAAATATATGCTTTTAAAGTAACTCTTAGTAAAGTATATCTACCTGTTAGATACTACACTATGCCTAAAAACCGGTTATGTTGTCTAACTTCAGGTTTATATTATTCCATCTGTGATTAGTCATTAAGTTACTTAATTAAAGTCTAAAAAAGGAACAGACTGGTAGCATTATAAGGTGACATCAGTATATTATCAAATCAGACCTGAACTTTTACCTGATGTTTGTGTTTTATGGAAGATAAAAGGTGAGCAAAATTATACAGGACCAAAAACAACATAATTGCCCTTCATAGCTCTGGATAACAAGAGGCCAAATGGGCCTGTATCACTCACGTTATTTACTGGTGTTAGGTGTGGAATTGGGGTTCTTTTGTACCAGGGGGCAATTAGCAAATTATCTTCAATAAGATTCATCAGTTTGGAAATAAGACTAATCAAAGTTTTACTTTATACACGAACAATGTACCTATTCAATGTGTCACAATGTATCAAGGCCGACTGGTCCCTTTGTCAAGCTATGACCGAGTGAGCAATTGGTATTGTAATAATCTCTCACTCGGTCATAGCTTAATGACAAAGGGACCAGTTGGTCTTGATACATTGTGACACGTATAATATGTCCATCATTTGTATATAAAGTAATACTTTGACAATTATGAGGCCAAGTTAAGTAACTGATCTGATGTCACATTATAACGTCTCCATCACTGCTACATCATCAATTACTGAGCAACCACGGACTACCTGGTCGCCACAGGCGTGAAATGGTGTAAAGCAGAACTACCCACACACAGTGAACAGTTTAAGTCACCCAATCATAATCTAAGGTTAATATCAGTAATACCTAAATTAATACATTATCTAAGTAAGTGTTGCTCTTACAAAGTTGAATTCAAAATTCTCATTTTTAACATCGTAACTTATATACTCCATCCCCCAAAACACTTTATAGGAGTCATTTTGTACATATTTGATAACGATGCTTTCTACTTAGCTTTGATAAAACATACTGATCATATCAAGTGGTTTAATTGTTAAATGGAAAATACATTCTGTGATTCCTTGTTTTTTCCCATATTCTTAGCAAGTTGTCACAAAATTTTGGCACGTCCATTCAAAACATTAGCCAATTTTTCCTACCATTTCCCCCCTGTAGATGACATGCTATTTAAAAGATTTCTCCGAGGTATTTTTTCAAATCCAGATTTTGTTTATGAAAATACATAAAAAATCTTGTGTTTTCATTGTTTGGTGCATCCTACAATGACATGCAAACCTCACACAACAGCTTGACAGATATCAACAGAAGGAGTGGAGTTAACCAAAGTCACACTCAAAGCTCCACACAGGAACTTTCTTTGTTGACTGAAAAGTAAAACATTGTGAAACGTAGCTACAGTCTGTACACCATGCCTGAGATTTACCCTTGTAAACGCCGACATTTTCTCGCCATTAAGAATCTAAAATACAAAGGGTTCACATGAGGGGTTCTGCAAGACGGCTTCACACAAACAGTAAGGGAAACACACGAACAATAGCTAACAACAACAGTCAAACGTACATGTTTCAATTTTTTTCCTTTTAATTAACTTCCACAATATGTTCTGTAATATGTGAGGAATAAAGAGGTGCTGTACATCATATGAAGAATATGGATTTTGACTCCTTTTATTCCAACAAGCTGAAAACCCTGAGACTGTCCTCAGGTGCAGAATACAATTTGAAGTATTTAAGAGTAAACAGATTATATTTTCGGCTTTTTTGAAGAGGTACTTTAAGCAAGTTTATAGGGAAAAACAGGAGGAAAAGGAATAAAAAAACACCTTATATATATCAGAAAAAAATCAAGGCTTTTTCTATAATGACAAAAGAAACTGATGTGACTTTTTATTGTTCAATCCAATATCCTTTTTTTATTTTCAAAAGAAGATATGACCATTGACCAAACATTATCAAATGGAGAGTCTCAGTAAATTTAATGCAGTTCTCATGTTTCAGCCCCCTAAGTGTGGGCCATTATCAAAACACAGAAACATGTAAACTTGCAGAGACTCTCCATTTGATGTTGTCTAGTCATCTCTTCTTTTAAATCTCTATTACTCTTATGGCCAGACTAGTGAATTCCATTTAGGAATCCATTAACTGGGGTACATAGAACTTCAACGTACATCCACTAGCAGATACTATAGGATCTCGCTTTCCCTTGTATTTGCTACTTACTTTTTTATTTTGATAATCTAGAAGTCCTTTGAAAGTAGACAACATATACTACACTAGAAGGGCTTTGTTGCTCACAAAATCTAAATCTGGTAAAACATAGATAGGGACAGGTCTTGTGTTCTTAATTATAATCCTCTGCATTTGCTCCAGAATTTAGATTGAATGAATCTACTACCAAATATAACAGGTTAGAGCTAAGGATTTTTTTTAAATTGTCCTGACGTTAATATAATGCAAGTTAGATTTAGATCTAGACTTAGAATCTAAGACAGTGATCTTAACCCTGTAAAATGTCTGATGACAATAGCTGGATGATGGTTGATGTCCAATGACTGATTAGATGATGCTGTTGCAGCAGTGTCACTTAGCAACAATGACATCAGGACCATACAAATTTAGTAGACTTATACATGTCCTGGTAAAATGTGGTCTCTGGTGATGACGAGTAGATGATAGAACATATAGAGAAGGCTTATGCTGGTAAAATGTGGTCTCTGGTGACAGACTAGATGATAGTGTAAAATGTTCCACTCAAACACACAATAGCTGAACAACAATGATACATAATCATTTAATTCAGCATTGTCAAACTGATATCTGAAATATTGACTGTATATTTAAAAATATGTTACATAATTTTTCATTATAGTAGTGAAGAAAATTTGTTTTTATTATGGTAAAACATCATCAAACAGAGAACAAAAATCCTATTTTAAAAATACATTCCATGAAATAATCAGTAAATTGTGCACAACAAACTTCTAGAGATTTTGAAATAATGAAAGGTGAGGCCATTAATCAACAACTTACTTTTCCTTGATGGAGTTTGTTGAGATTTGCATTCGGTCTCGTACAGCCATGAAGAACACTTCCTCTCTTGTAGACAGAAAGAAGTCCAGCATTGATTTCTGTACCAGTATCAAAAGGTGTAGAAATGGGTCATACTGGTCATCAATTAGACAATGTATCTGTTCTATAAAACAACCCTCTCTAGTAACACCAAACTCCCTTTTTAAATTTGCTTAAATGTTAAATTAAGTAAACTCAACCATTACAACATAGTGCATCAATATAGAAATTATATGAAATATAAAGTGGTATTTAAGTCTTCATATTAAACAATTTTTAAGTCTGAGGAGCAATTTTAAGTATGGTATATGACTGCTCTTCCCATGCACAGTTATTAAAAATGTAAGTTAAAATGAACATTAAGTAACAATTGAAGCAAAATTTAAAGAAAATCCCTTTTAAACAATGAAGGTTAAAAAAGGTCAAAGCATTTTCCTTAAGAAGTTGAACAATATCCCATCCCATCTAAGATAATACAGATTTCATAACAATTACAAGAATTTTGTCTAGATATTTCCTTTTTACTGTACTTCTGATAAAATATTGAGAACTAAACAATGGCATTATACATATGTAACCTGACTGTTCATCCAAGAGTGATTACCCTAAAAGTTATACCTGTACATCCCTATTGGCGTTAAACAGCATGAGTGACATGAAGGCCAGGACCTCACGCGCGATTAAATCACTCCGACGTGCCACATGGGGCAGCACCTTCTCTACAAAGCCGTGGACATTGAGGGCATTCTGGACTTCCTTTATGTACGCCAGCTGTCTGTTGGTTCAATTCATACATCACATAAGGCATTTCAAATAAAATAAAGGCCCATAATTGTAAAATACATGTGATGTAGCACAGTTTATATTGATAAGCAACCTTCACCTAAAAAGTAAGATTCTTGTGTACAGCTGTACTTATATGTATCAGAGTAAGATTCTTGTGTACAGCTGTACTTATATGTATCAGAGTAAGATTCTTGTGTACAGCTGTACTTATATGTATCAGAGTAAGATTCTTGTGTACAGCTGTACTTATATGTATCAGAGTAAGATTCTTGTGTACAGCTGTACTTATATGTATCAGAGTAAGATTCTTGTGTACAGCTGTACTTATATGTATCAGAGTAAGATTCTTGTGTACAGCTGTACTTATATGTATCAGAGTAAGATTCTTGTGTACAGCTGTACTTATATGTATCAGAGTAAGATTCTTGTGTACAGCTGTACTTATATGTATCAGAGTAAGATTCTTGTGTACAGCTGTACTTATATGTATCAGAGTATGATTCTTTCCCGTTCTTAATCTTAACAAGAATTACTTTGAAAGTCGTACTAAGCTATCTCAAAATATTATTAGGTAAACTAAAGTGACTGTTATGACATGAAGATTACTTTTTGATTTTTTGGTCAGAGGTACATGTGTCCCAGTCCTCAGGAAGTTTGCGCTCCTCGTTGTGTATGATGGCGCGGAGTATCTGCATACACTTGATGTCAAGTTCCTCTGTCTGGGCCAGGCCCTGACGGATAGACTCCTGGGATATCCTGGTCAGACACACAGTCAATATAACATGAAGACAAGATTAAAGCTTTCAAATAACCATGACTTCCTAATATAGAATTAATTTCACAGCAAGTAGAAAACAAGTTTTTTGTATCAATTTAAATTATTTACTCTTGTTGTGAGCGCTCAGCTGGAAGATTGCATTGGATCTTAATGGAGGAAAAAACTAAACCCGTGATGAGGCAGGTGATCAAAAGCCATTTCAAGTGAAATTGGGGAAATCAAACTCCAGCCATCTTTGTGTGTTAACCACTAAGTCACCCAAACACATCACAGAATCATCTTCCACAAGTGGTTTTAATTTCAATTCTGGAAATATTTTTCCTAAGACAATGTTTCTGTACTACCACCATTAATAGTTATACAGGTCTTTGGCAGGGTACATGTACCCTGCCAAAGACCTGTATAGCGAATTTGTCATACTGGAAAGCCATTTATAGGTTGGGACTTGTGTTTGCCAGAAAACAGATACTGTGTAGGGCGGTAGTACGGGAAAACAGAAAAAACAATTTTTGTATAATTCCAACAATTTAATAAATTTTTAAATTATAATAAGTCAACAATATGGTTTTGAAACAACATTACATAACAACTCAGTTCCTTAAAAACCGTTTCACCATATTGTTGATTGTTGACATTAGCAGACGAACGTTCTCCGGTGTGTTCGATTCAAATCTTCGAGTTATCTCCCTTACAACAGGCGTGCATGCTCTTATGTACACCGGCAAGGATACTAACATAGCTTCAGGTACCTTGGCCATTCGACCAATCACCGTGCGACATTTTTCTTTGCAGTATGACAATATGTGGTATCTGTAGACTTACTGCAACTGTTCTAGAAGTATCCTGGCTGGAAGGAACCTCTTGGCAGGCTTCCTCTCGTGGACGTCTATAAAACACTTGACAAGGCTCTGGAACTCCTCGCCTAGTAACAGCTCCTCATTGGTACCCTGGGCTGTGTACTCTGTAGTCAGAAACATACAACCTTAGTGACAATATTGTTTTGGTTTGTTTAATTTTGTGTTTAACGTCCTATTAACAGCTATGGTCATTTAAGGACGCTCCATGTTTTGGTGTTGGAGGAAAGCCAGAGTTCCCAGAAAAAAACTCCGACCTACGGCCAGTACCTGGCAACTTTAACACGTAGGCCTCGGACCCGCGAACCCAGTGGTTGAGGGCTAGTGGTAGCAAAATGTCATACGCCTTAACCACTTGGCCCCCTCCTTAGTGTCAATACAACAACATAGTTTATATATCTGTGTAAGAGGATGGCTCTATGGGTTTCACTTTACAGTCTAAAATATAAGGTTCTCATCACAGTTGATATCAGATTTAAAAAAGAAACGGTAAAAATTGTCCTGATAATATTAGAAAAAAAACATATTAAATTCTGATTTCATTACTGTATTGTACTAAATTAATCATATATGACTTTAAATATTAACAGAAGACGGCAAGCAAATCAGTTTTTTTGATGGAAGCAAAAGTGTTTATCTAATTAATAAAATATTATGCAATAATTTAAAATGTCACTTAGTTAAAGATGTGTGTACTATCATCCGTTTTGTAATTTCTATTATGTACAGGTATACTAGTGACTACATATGACTTATACGTACATATAAGTAATAACAATACAGAACAGTAATAAGTGTTAAGGGAGAACTAATGAAAACAGATAAATGTTCATATTTCTATTGTCTTCAGCATATACATATATACATTCATAACTAGTATTTACATATTGTTCTGGTGACATCTGTCTAATACAAACCTCGTTTTGATTTCTTGTACTTGATTTGAGCAGCAACTGTGTTATACCCCTGATAAATGATGTTGTTATTTTTGGCAAACGTGTGGAATTTGGCGTTGAGCTCCAGTTCTCCTGCATAGTATTCCATGTTACCCTGCAAAAGTCAGTTATTACAGTAAATCTTACATCTTGTCTTAACACAGGAAGGTACAATGAACTTTAATACTGTAGAGAAAATCACACTGATGAGACATAAGAAAAGATTCCTACCTTGCGCACGGCACTCTTGGTATCTCCAAGTCTCATCTCCGTAGAAAACCTTTCCAACACGCTGATATATAGCTAAAAATAATGTTTTATGTTTAAAATATGAGATAATACAGAAAAAAAGGAAGTACAACATTGACATGTGAAACAGTACAGACATGTGAAACAGTACAGACATGAGAAACAGTACAGACATGAGAAACAGTACAGACATGTGAAATAGTACAGACATGAGAAACAGACATGTGAAATAGTACAGACATGTGAAACAGTACAGACATGAGAAACAGACATGTGAAACAGTACAATTATGTGAAACAGTACAGACATGAAAAACAGTAGACATGAAAGTAAATTTATTGATTTTCCACTGCAGTTTTTGAAACAAATATATAACATCGATCGACATCTTTAGGAAATATCTTTCTCTCAAGACAATGATTCCAAATGTGCTACGCATTATCTTCATAGCAGGTGATTGTTTTGAAATAATATTTCATAAGAAATTGATGAATAGTGTTGTTTGGAACAGTGAATGTGATAATAAATCCCCCAGAAAGTGTCGCTGTGTTCCTCTACTCACACTTTTGTTGGTGGTTGACACGGAGATGAGGATGGTAATGGAGGCCGCTATGGCCTTCATGTGGACAGGACTGGTGAGGAACTGGCCCGCCACCTCGCAGAATGACTGTAAAAATAAATAGGAGGTTTAATGGTATGTCAGAAAGATCTACAGATTACTGAAAGATGCAGCAGTACAAAAACTGAGTCATCAAACAAAACTTCTATTATTGTTATGCGACAACCAATATAAATCATATTGCTTGAAACTTTTTTGTCTCCAAACCTGAATTTCGGATAAAAGTAAGCACTTCTTAAATCAAAATGATATAATGATAATAACAGGAGAGCAATTTTACAGAATAAAGAGAAGCCTCCAGAGAGTCCTGTAAACACTACACACAGAGAGCCCCTGAGTGAGGGTTTGTGAGTCCTGTAAATACTACACACAGAGAGCCCCTGAGTGAGGGTTTGTGAGTGCTGTAAACACTACACACAGAGCCCCTGAGTGAGGGTTTGTGAGTGCTGTAAACAATACACACAGAGAGCCCCTGAGTGAGGGTTTGTGAGTGCTGTAAACATTACACACAGAGAGCCCTGAGTGAGGGTTTGTAAGTGCTGTAAACACTACACACAGAGAGCCCTTGAGTGAGGGTTTGTGAGTGCTGTAAATACTACACACAGAGAGCCCCTGAGTGAGGGTTTGTGAGTCCTGTAAACACTACACACAGAGAGCCCATGAGTGAGGTTTTTTTTATAAGTGCTGTAAACACTACACACAGAGAGACCTTGAGTGAGGATTTGTGAGTGCTGTAAACACTACACACAGAGAGCCCTTGAGTGAGGGTTTGTGAGTGCTGTAAACACTACATACAGAGAGCCCCTGAGTGAGTGTTTGTGAGTGCTGTAAACACTACACACAGAGAGACCCTGAGTGAGGGTTTGTGAGTGTTGTAAACACTACACACGGAGAGCCCCTGAGTGAGGGTTTGTGAGTGCTGTAAACACTACACACAGAGAGCCCTTGAGTGAGGGTTTGTGTGTGCTGTAAACACTACACACACAGAGCCCCTGAGTGAGGGTTTGTGAGTGCTGTAAACATTACACACAGAGAGCCCTTGAGTGAGGGTTTGTGAGTGCTGTAAACACTACAAACAGAGAGCCCTTGAGTGAGGGTTTGTGAGTGCTGTAAACACTACACACAGAGAGCCCCTGAGTGAGGGTTTGTGAGTGCTGTAAACACTNCAATACATACTGAGAGCCCTTGAGCGAGTGTTTGTGAGTGCTATAAACAATACATACTGAGAGCCCTTGAGCGAGGGGTTCTGTTGTGTCTATCTCCCCGGGATACAGATCTTTGTCCGGCGAGTAGAACATGGAGTAAAACACTACACACAGAGAGCCCTTGAGCGAGTGTTTGTGAGTGCTATAAACAATACATACTGAGAGCCCTTGAGCGAGGGTTTCTGTTGTGTCTATCTCCCCGGGATACAGATCTTTGTCCGGCGAGTAGAACATGGAGTAAAACACCTGGTAACAGGAAACTTATGTCAGTTAGGTATGATTAATACTTCAACAAGGTATCTATATCATTAGTGGATCTATATAGCAGTTTGAAGTTTTACAAAATAGTTATTCCAAATGAAAAGAAGTTGCACACAGTTTTAAAAATGTAAAATCGAAACTATCTGTTGTACTCATTTTCTATTTGGAAATAGGATGGACATTTCATGTGAATTATACAAGTAAATATTTAACACTATATTTTCATTTCATTGCAACAAACCAGATGGAATCCTACCTCTACAAAGGGGAGGACAGCCTCCAGGACATAGAATACACAGCCATGTAGTCCCGCATTGGTGTCTCCTGGAACAGCCACCGCACTGATCATACAAAAAACTGTATTTTATTTTTGTTTACAAACAGAATAACAAAAAACAAAATATTGTTCATTCAGATGCTGTTTGTTTCCATACATGTATATTCTGTCTATTCCTGAATAATTAATATGGAAATTTATTACTCTATTTAATACTTGAAATTCTGAGGATCCATTGCGTTAGACCTCTTTTTGAGTCCTTACCTAATAATGAATGTTATTTTGAGTACCTATCATTTGTCAGGTGATTGTTAGAGAGCCTTGGTGGTTAACTTAATACTGTACCTACCGTGCCTTTGGCAAGGTGGATGTTTGAGTACCTACCTTTGGCAAGGTGGATGTTTGAGTACCTACCTTTGGCAAGGGGGATATTTGAGTACCTACCTTTGGCAAGGTGGATGTTCAAGTACCTACATTTGGCAGGTGGTTGTTCAAGTACTTACTTTTTGGTAGGAGACAAACCTTTCTGCAGGTGGTGCGAGTACCTATCTTTTGGCAGGTGGCTGTGCGAGTACCTACTTTATTGGAGGTGGCTGTTTGAGTGCCTGGATGGCTGTGTGAGTACCTACCTTATTGGAGGTGGCTGTTTGAGTGCCTGGGTGGTTGTGTGAGTACCTACCTTATTGGAGGTGGCTGTTTGAGTGCCTGGGTGGCTGTGTGAGTACCTACCTTATTGGAGGTGGCTGTTTGAGTGCCTGGGTGGCTGTGTGAGTACCTACCTTATTGGAGGTGGCTGTTTGAGTGCCTGGGTGGCTGTGTGAGTACCTACCTTATTGGAGGTGGCTGTTTGAGTGCCTGGGTGGCTGTGTGAGTACCTACCTTATTGGAGGTGGCTGTTTGAGTGCCTGGGTGG